TCTCTCTCTCTCTCTCTCTCTCTCTCTCTCTCTCTCTCTCATGGAAGCGCTTGTTCATCTCTTTCTCTCTCTCGTGCACAGTAATATTCACTCACACATGCACACTGACACGCCCGACCAGCAGCCCGCACTCACGCACCTACGCACACATACACCCGCCTGCGCAGACGCACATATTACTGTGCATGAGAGAGAGAGAGAGAGATGAACAAGCGCTTCCAAAAGCAGGAGCGAGACAAAGTGAGAGAGAGAGCGAGAGAGGTGAACAAGCGCTTCCAGAGGCGGGAGAGAGAGGTGAACAAGCGCTTCCTGAGGCGGGAGAGAGAGGTGAACAAGCGCTTCCTGAGGCGGGAGAGAGAGAGAGAGAGAGAGAGAGAGAGAGAGAGAGAGAGAGAGAGAGAGAGAGAGATGAACAACCCCACCGCCCTCCCCTTCGTGCAGGTGTCAACCCCGGCCCGCTGTGCGTCCTTCAATGCGCCAAACGATGGCAACAATCTCATGAGAAGATTACAGCATGTATCTTTCGACAACAATCCACCCCTCAAAACTACGATCTTTGACTGATGATCCTATAGAGAGACTCTGCATGCGACGAGACTACGTGTGTTAAGGATTTACAGAGCTGAAAACCATGACGATGACGATCCTCAAACTGCACGTGGCGCGTGACACCAACGAGGCCCATTCCAACCCTGGCCTCCGTCTGATGATACCCATCACCCATCATCACGGTGACCTTGTATTGTCTACAATGCCATCACGAGTCCACGCAGGCCAATGTTCAAGGACAAAGACAAGAACAGAGCAACTCACCTTTATCCGCCATGTCAGACGCGAAAAACGGGGCGGCAACAGCGCCCGAGCACCCTCATCTTCATGCTTGCGAAGCTTCTTCAGCTGCCATGATGAGAGAGGTGTAGCCCCCTTCTCCCATACACGTGTCCTCGTGGGCCGTTCCGTCACATCTCTTCTCGCAGTTATTCGTTTTTCGTTACGGCTACCCTGTGGTCACATTATCGTCGTTGGTCGTCGTCGTCGCCGTCGAGGGTCGTCGTCGTCGTAGTCGTGGTGGTCCTGGCGCGGCGCAGGCGCTACGGCCACTGACCCGACGAAGCGGTAAGCCGCAGGTCCCATGCTTGTCCTTTCCCTTGGGGCGGGGTTGTTCTGCACTTAACTTTTCTGTGTGTGTGTTATTTTCCAGGTGCTCTTGGGCGGGCCGGTGCGGACCCTCGGTATCTTGCCGCGCTTTTTATTTATTTTTCACGAGACCCTTTTGGCGGGGGGGTCGTTTCGGTTTGTTGGGTGTTGACATCGGGGTCATCGCGCGGTCCCCTCTTCGTTTGGGCACCACCTTCGCGTGAGCGGGCTCCACTTGCGAAAATGGGTTTGTGCGCGCGCGCTGACTTCGCGTGAGCGGGCTCCATTTCGGTCTTTTATCGCACGTGGACCACAGGTTCTTGTAAAGGTGAATACCGACCGTTGGGCAGGGCCCAACAGGCTCCGCCCCATTGGACCTCTTCGGCCATGCCCTCGGGGGGCGAGGTCCGCTTTACGCGGCCCTCCATCCCTGACTGTCAGTTATGAAGATCAACGGCCGAAAGCAAAGAACCAGGTCAAGGGGGACCTAGCTTAAGGGCAAGCCGCATGGGCAGGATCGTTGACTTATGGCGAGGTAGAGGGTTGAAAGCGAAGATCCAGTGGGACCTGGCTTCGGGGACAGCCCTGTGGGCAGGATCGTTGACCTATGGCGAGGGCGAGGGTTGACCTGGTTTCCAGTGCGTGCAGCTCCCCATGAGTAGATTGGAGTCAGCCCCAGGCAGTCCCCAACCCAGGTGGCACTCGTAGCACCGCCAGGGTAGCGGACAACCTATGCTTGCAGGGTCCCGAGTGCTAGTCTACATGTCATCCACCTCATTCGTTTGTTTGTTTGTTTGTTTGTTTGTTTGTTTGTTTGTTTGTTTGTTTGTTTGTTTGTTTGTTTGTTTTGAAACAGACGAACAGAAACAAGCTGAACTGATGTGCAGTCTTTCCCATGGCGATTTAGACCGCAACAATGACTTCTGATGGAACCCCTGGTGCAACATAGAAAGCACCTGGGAAAGACTGCCTTTCGATCACTTCAAAGCTCCATACAAGCCCACAAACTCCGTGCTCATTCAGCCGAGCCACAGAGTGAACCCACCCACTATCCCCACCAACCCGGCGGATCAGTCATCACCAGCACTACCACAGTCTCTCCTCCCCCCCCACTACCACAAGGCTCACCGCCCAAGACCCCCTCCTCCCCCAACCTCCTCTCCTCTACCATTGGAGCCAGCACCCTCGTCCCAGCCTCCATCCCCTCCTCCCCCTAACCCCCCTCTCTCCCCACCTCTCTACGTCTGTCGGCCAAGGTGGGATCTTTCCCTGTTGCTCGTCATAATGGCTCGACCTCAGAACTTCAAGCCGTGGCGCTCCTCAAGGAATGGGATATAAAGGACTTAGTTCAGAACAAAATAATAGTCGCAGAGGGTCCTAGTGTAAACGAGAAGGTTCTGTTAGGGGATATAGAAATCAGACTATCTCGGGTTCTGGATGAGTTTGAAAAACAATGAAGTAGTTTTGTTGGTAGTCAATCCTTAATCCTCCCGTAATGGAGGTCAACCGGTGTTGTCTTCGACAGCTCAAAGACGGTTATCTGTTAATCTGCTGATTTTGTAGGGATGTTGAACCCGCTTTCGAGCAGGTGTTGCTCCCCACCAATAGATTGGAGCCTTCAACACGGGACCCTACCCTGGGGGGATGCTCTTATCACCTTCCAGAGTAGGGGTCCCGATTGAAGTTTACCAAAAAAAAAAAAAAAAAAAAAAAAAAAAAAAAAAAAAAAAAAAAAGCATGGTCCTTGGAAATTGTGCAGCTGCCGATCAGGCGAGGATTTTTGAGAATTCACCATTGTAGATAAATCAAAGCAGAGGACACCAAAAGCAGAGCAGAACCTGGTACCATCTTCCCCCCCGAATAGAATGCACGGTCATTATAGTTGTATTTGGGGCAACTATCAGTCCATATACAACATTAAGGGGTGTGTATTCTATTCAGGGGAGGAGAGTAGTTTAGAGGAGTAAGACAGGACCAGCTCCATTGTCTCCAATCTCTGAAGCATCCTCCTATCCCTCTGGGTTGCATATGATTCCCCCTCCCATTGCGCAGCTCCTACTTCCTTCTGACCAATTCCCACCCGGGATGCTGTCCGCCTAGTCTTTATGTCTATATCTACTCTCTCTCTGTTGCTGATGGCTGGCCCCGATCCCAAGTGTCTGCAACCCCCCATACGTAGTGGTCGTGAAAATGATTGTGCAAGTTATACAGTTGGAGAGGTGTCAAGAGGTCCACATCTACTACCTCTACAATTGTCTTTGCTATCCTGTCAACCTCCTCCCATTCTCATTGTTATGAACCAAAAGGGTTGTCATTCAATCAGTTCTGCTCAACGTCAAGATGTAAACCCCTGAATAGCATTGAATAGTGGTTCTTCCTTGTTATCACTCCCAGGATGGGGAGGGCCGTGGCAAAGCATTCCGAAATGCACCTCACCCCACCCGGGAGTCATTGTGATACAGATGTCTGTCCATTCATTGTGAATTCGCAGTGTTCCACTCTCTTGATTTTGCAGCGTGTGCTGTCCAACCGTTGTGAATTCACAGTGTTCCGCTCTCTTGGTTTTGCAGCTTGTGTGTCCCTCAGTATCGCTTATGTTGTTTGCAGTCGCTCCGCTTCATGGCCATGCCTCGTTTGAGTTTGTCAGAGAAGGGAGTACGGGGTGGGGGGGGGAGGGAAGGGGGTGTGGAGCAATGGGGGAGAGAAGAAGGCTGAGGGAGAGGGGAGGGGGAGGGGGGAATCAAGACGGACAGGGTTCCGGACCATAATCATAGGAGGCGCCCGGATGGAGCCGTATCATGTTACCAGCACAAAGTTAGGTTGCAAGAAGGGGACCTGAAAGCAGTGGGTGGGTCTCCTTTGCCATAAAGTTTTTGTGGCCCTCCACTGCTTCCAACGAATATTAAGCTCGTTGTCAAGTTCAGAAAATCTTTGGTGCAGATCCTGCCACAGCTGACTAAAGGTTGTCTTAAGTGTTTCCTTGGGATCTTTCTCCTCCCTATAGTCTCGAATGTGTCTTCCATGCTTCTTGCATATGGGATATGATTTCGTCTTCCAAGACTTGTTGGGCTTGCTGTAGACCGAATTGGTGGTCTCTTTTTTCAAACGAGCACCTGGCTCTCCAGACCAGCATGAGCACCTGCAGTCTCGTGTGTGAGAAAAGGTTAGTTGCAAAGGGCGACCAGTGCGTCATTAAGTGTTGTTTTTTCCCCAACAGCAGCAGCCCCATGTCCCATGGGATGTGAGATATCGAAAGGTTGCATCCCACCACTGCCATAATTGGGTGACCATGGGGCAGGCCGATAGACAATGCTCCAAAGTCGCCCTGGCTGGCAGTGATGTTCTGCCACAGTAGGCACGTATAGGTGACAACAAACCTTTTTGTTCTAGGTTTGTTCGCGACACCAACGAATCGGGGGTAGGCGGGCAACGATGGATAATTTGTTATTTAAGGGTTCTCAAATTCGTGGGCATAATCTTGGCATACTTAGCCCAAGGCAAATCGTCTATCATCTGTGCTTCTAAGGGTGAGTCACGTGCCCATCTGGTGGATAGTGTTTGGTCGATCACTGGGGCAGTCCTTGAGGGTCTATACCCTCTTTTAACTGTGTAGTCCCATATGTGCATGGGCTTCGGGCCAGGCCATTCCCACTCAGTCAGGTCAAAAGGGAGTTTGGCTACCGGAGTCGTGGGTTCATACAAAAAAAGTCCCTCTTTTGGGTCCCCCACGACAGGTACATCCATCAGCCCCCCCAAATTTTTGGTCCTGTCAAGGTTGTCATTTCTTGTGAGTTTGGAGAATCTGGGCCTTGACACTTGAAGGTCGTATGCTTCTAGCTTACATTGCCCTTTGTCATTGTTGCAGACTCTAAACACTGTGAGCGGCTGGGGTAAGTCTGCAAATTTGGCAACCCAGTCATCAATCCCAACCATGGGGCTAGTTTGGATGATGAGTCGCCATGCAAGGGAGAGGGTTTCCTTCAGCATTACCTTCCTGTTCCTCACATTTTTGTCATGCTTAAGCCTGCGCTGCAACTGTTCGATTGTTGCCCAGTCATTTGAGTGTGGGTCCCACAAGTCCCCTACTGTATATATTCCCCTTTTTGCCCAAGTGAGTCATGGAGAGTTGTTTTTGAGGTTGAAGGTGTTGCCATTTCCATCTATGACATACGGATTACCGGACAAGGGTTGCCTTCAAACATCTTGCCGTTTGTTTGGGGGCTGTTTTTGTTGCGACCCTCGCTTCCTCCAAAGCTTAAGCATGTATGGCTACAGGGGGTCCAGGAGGATGTCTACTCTCGCTGCTTGCTTCGGGCTGGTCGTCTGCCGTTGTTGAGGGGGGGAGGGTAGAGTCCAGTATCTGTTAGTCAGCCATTGGAAGGGGTGTGGCCTATTGACCATCAATGCTTTCGGTGTCAGGGAAGCAATCTAAAGGCAGGCTAGTTGGCTCAAAGGGATGTCGTTTCCTATCAATAGGCTAACCACCACTTTAAAGATCAGTGCTTCACTTCCTCTCTCTGGATCCAATATCCCTAGGCCTCCCTTAGTTTTTTGTTGCGTAAGGACATCCCAACTTACCCTTGATATGTAGCCCTCGGCTTTGACACTGTTTTTCCAGAGATATATTGTTAATGTTTTCCTAAGTCTGGCGTATTGTTGCTTCTTGAGTGACCAGACCGCTAGTTTGTACCAGATGACCGCTAGGATAACGTTGTCTATTGCTAAAGCCCTTCCTACCATTGAGGTATGTGGCCCCTCTCATTTAGCCAATCAGTCTATTGCCATATTGACAAGTATATCGTCATGGTCTTGCGGGGGACCAAGTGTTGTTAACCTCACCCCCAAGATCCTGATGGCGTCTTCCCTACGTGCCCACGCCACCACTGGTTCTTGTGGCGAGGAATCCCCTTGAGGGTGAAGCCACCATCCTTCCGTTTTTACCCCCC